ATGGCCCTCAGCTCACCTATAACAGAATGTGGAGGGAGTAGGAAGGAGGAGGGAACACTAATTTAAAAGGCAGATTCCAGAGCCCCAACTAAGACCTACTTAATCAAACTCTCTGGGTGTTGAACCCAGAGTCTAAATTTTTAATAAGAGAATGCACATGTGGGCACCATTCTTTGGTACACCAAAGAACCTAAAACCATACATTTCTTTGTTTAATGAGGTAATACTCATCATACTCTGAAAATTAAAATGAAGTGTAGAGAATACTTTCTAAATATTTGAGACAGTAATTCCACCAGTATATATTCAAGCAGATCCAGATAAAAATTTTCCTGCACTGTGTACCTAACCTGAAGGACAAAGAAATGTATTTTAGGAAGACAACCATCATTTCACAATGCCTTTCTAAAAGAACTTGAAAAAGCAACTGGGTAAACAGGAAAACTCCACAAGTCCAGTTTTGCTGCTGTTCTCACCGGAACAGGCCCTAGACACAATTTTCACTAAAGCCAATTTCAATTAAACCAAGCAAATGTGGCTCGACCGAGGCCTGGCTGGCACAGGAAGGTCTCCTGAATTTACTATCAAAACTCAAGATATCTTCTCAGTGCTACTCTATTATTTTTTTGTTACTTGTTTTCACCCCTCCACAGTGATTATCTTGTCATCATTTTTTTCACCTGCATCTTCCAATTCATCCCTACCTTTCATGACTTTTGCTTTGGTCTCCTTGATTTTCCTCTTCATTGTCCCTGTTTTCAGACAAAACCAAAACTACAATCCTGACTTTCAAGCCCTGGAAAACTGCTCCCAAGCCCGAGTTGAAAACAAATCAGCATAACAAACACATGAAAAGATGTTCAACCTCCCCTAGCAAACAGAAAAAGTGCAAATTTTAAACCACAAAGGCACAATTTCACACCCATCAGATTGGCAAAACATCAAGTCTAGCAATATCAAATATCTGTAAACATGTGAAGCAATTGGAACCCCCAAATGCTGCTTGGTTGGAATGCAAATTGGTACAACTTCTTTGGAGAGCAATCTGGCAACTTATTAAAGAAGACGATCTAATTTCTTTGACCCAGTAATTCCCTTCCAGGTTTACACCACAGAGAAACTGTCAACTGTCAACTGTGTATACTATACACAGGGAGATGAGTTCACAACTGTTCATTGCACTAAAACAGCACTCACAAATTTGTAAGCCTGCTTACAACATTACAATGAATGTGTCATAGCATATTTATATAATAAAATGTTGTTATATAGCAGTTAAAATAAACCAGGATTATGTGTCTCTCAATAGCAAAATCACAATTTAAACAATAAAAGCAAACTGAGAAGAATGTTTAGTATTATAAAGCATGTTTAAAACATGAAAAAATACACTATATCTAGTTTATGAATGCACACAAATCTAGTAAAAATATAAAAATACACAATAAACAACAAATGCAGAATAGTGGTGGAGGGGTAACGAGATCAGGAAGGACTCATAGGTGGTTTTAAATGTATATATAGTATTTTATTTCTTCATGGGGTGGGGAGTACACGAGTATTCACTCTATTATTCTACATTTCTGTATGTCTAAAAATCACCCTCACTCAGAAAAAAAGCCAAAGTCTGAGCTAATTTAAAAGTATCTGAGGGTTCTGAAAGTGGCATTGGAACTTGAGGAAGAACAGGAAGGTTGGCCCTATGAGTGCAAAGTGAAGCTTTGGGGACCATGGAGTCCCACTACCATGATCTTAAAACTATCCATGACAAAGAATCATTCTCAGAATTGTGGTAAACTTCCATGTACAGCACTTAAAACATCCCTCAAACTTCAAGCCATAGTCCCAGAAGAGAAATATTCCAAAAACCCTTTACTGTTGGGGTTGGTTGGTAATCGAGTTTGTCTCAAGAATGTTTTTGCAGCAGGGCACAGTGGCTCATGCCTTTAATCCTAGTACTCTGAGAGGCTGAGGCGGGTGGATCAACTGAGATCAGGAGTTTGAGACCAGCCTAGCCAACATGGTGAAACCCTATCTCTACTAAAAATGCAAAATTAGCCAGGCATGGTAGCAGGCACCTGTAATCCCAGCTACTCGGGAGGCTGAGGCAGGAGAATCATTTCAATACAGGAGGCAGAGGTTGCAGTGAGCCATCGCACTCCAGCCTGGGCACCAAGAACAAAACTCTATCTCAAAAAAAAAAAATAAAAAGATTTTGCTGGTTGATTTTTGGGTGGCCTTTTCTCTTAAAGACCACCAAGGCCTTTCAAACCCTTAGGCCAGCATTTGGTTCCACCACAACTGAAGGTTTGTTATAAGAAGCTGCATTAAAATAATTAGACCAGAAAAGTTAACTAGACTAAAAGACACCATCTTTTACATCTCTTCTAGTTAGTTAGCTTTGGGTGGCTTCATGGGTAGGCTAGAGATAGAGATAGGTGGTTACCAAATACCCTTCTGATGATACCACAGAATTTAATACCGTCATGGAACCCCAATCCATTCACACTAACTAGAAAGACCAGGAGGGGGGAAAAAAGACATCTGAGCTAGAGAAATTTCTCTTAATTGCTAAGAGAATAAAAATGGAAAATGTCTTTCAATTATAACATAAACATACCAAAATTCCACTTAGTGAAGAATAAATAAACAGGTTTTATGGTATGAGTGAACTGAAGCACATAAAGTTGCTATTCAGAAAAGGTATCATAATCTTTCATTCTAACTAAATACTGGCATTCAACTTCGTTTTCTTGGAGGAGTCCAAGAAAAACAGAAAAATCCGCAGAACTAATTGTCAGGTCCCGACCTAACATAAACCTCTGCATATGAGACCAGTGGGGCCAGAAAAACAGAATTTCTTTTCTTTAAACATTAACTCACCTCACCTCACACTGTATTTTCTAACCCCAGCAACTATCAGAGTAGACCCTCACATGACTTTACACCTAGCTGATACATTAACTAAACTTACAGTTGCCAACTATCTTTGAGAATGGCAAGCATGAATAACAGTAACAGAGGAAAAGGCAAGATATCTGTTCCCCCAAATCATAAGACCAACATATTTTTTAATAATTAAAAAATTGTTTCCAACCATTCTCAAAATACTTGCCTTAGGTAAGTAGTTATCAAGATAAAAATATAAAAATTCTCTAGTTTTCTTTCAAAATTTTAATGTTTACTTTCCCTTTATTTCAACATAACTTCATTTATTTATATAAATATAAGTTATTTATATGTTTTTATTTACATGATTTTATTTGTTTGTTTGTTTTTGGTAGAGATGGGGTCTCACTATGTTGCCTAGGCTGATCTTGAACTCCTGGGCTCAAACAGTCCTCTTGCCTCAGCCTCCCAAGTACTGGTATTACCAGTGACCCACCATGGCCAGCCTACTTCATTGATTTAAAAGAACTAAAATCTGGCACTCAAACTGGTGTCAAAAATTATCCTGAGGCTGTTCTACAGATGCTAAAATGCTAATATCTCATAAGTTTAATGCAGTTTTAAACAAGGCAGTTAGGTAACGAAGTGGTTGCTAACCAATTAAGAGGTGCAGATTTTCATAAAGGCTTTATCTAAGAAATTCTACTAAGAAGCTTTTCATGACCAAAAACAGAAAATCAGTTTTAGAAGATGAGAAAAACAAAGGTCCTCAGAAATACAACAATTTGTCCAAAAGCACCATTAGATTCATGCTTAACTGGAGAGACACCCAATGGTGCAGATTTCAATTCTAACTCACATTGACTATAATCATGTCCTCATATAAAATAAAAGCCAGAAGTAGAACATGTATCCAACTTTGGTCAAATGAGAATATATTTTTGAAATGTCCTGTTGTATTAATCAGTCTTTCCACTGTACAGCTACTGGGAGTTTGTTCAACCTCTATCTGTGCTGGTATCACACTGTATTGAAATGGTTTCATCTTTACCAATGTTACACCCACAAGATAAGGAACGGTGGGACAGGGACCCACCTCATTCATTTATTAAGCAGTTGAATATAGTCTGTGCCAACACTAACATAGCAGGTCCTCAACAGATGGCCATTTATTGGAACAAAACTCGTAATCTATTTGATACACGGCATTTTCTCAGAGGTACATCTTACAGCATTATTAACAAATGAAATAAGATTAGAAGATCTGGACCAATTTGCATTGGTACGTCACATTTGGTTTCTTCTAACTAATGCTTCCTTTTTAGAAAATTCCTCAAGCTCTTCAAACAGGAAACTTAAAAAAACCCAAAAACAAAAACCTTCCATTTGCAGGGCCATAAATATATATAGGAAGTTAAATCCATTGGTCTGGATAAAAATCAGAGGATTATCAACAGAAGACATTTCCTCATGCTTGGTAGCAGCTAGTGCATTATGAAAATTACAACACACCAGCCAAACAAGCTTTACTATATCTGAACCAGACACTGCTGTGTGGCCAAGCTGCCTTGCCCTGAGCAAGTTCATCAAGAATTACCATGGCAGGAATTCACACGGAAGAAAAATTAAAACAAATGGAAACTAGTACTAAACTTCCAGTGGACAATAAAAGTTCAGCAAGTGGGTGGGGAAGTGGAGGAATGAAGATATTTTCCAAGTTTCCTATATCTAAAACTGGCACAAGAAGTATGGGGAAAAGAGGGGATGTTTAGTTCTCAATCACACAAAGTATCTGCCACAAGTTTGGTTTCTACTCTGCCGGGTCCTTTCTTATCTGGTGGAGGAAACAGATCCACTTTCAATGAGAGATCTTCATTTTTTCCTGTTACCCAGAAAAATGGTATCTTCTAACATCCTTTCTGGTCACATATCAGCCTGTTCAAAATATGTCAAACGATCTGCTTAAAAAAAAAAAAAAAAAATGCAATCCCCACTTGCTCTTACTACAACTACTCAAACCAGCTGGGACCAAACAAACTTAGGAGTGGGAAGGGTCAGTAAGAGGCCCACAGAGAAGCTAAGCAGTGAGAAGGGACCTGTAAGACACCTACCTGGAAACAATTCATTATTGAGCGAAGAATCAAGGTCCAGTGAATATTTACGTCTGATCCAGTGAAAAGACAGCAGTTTTCTCATATCCAGCCTTCTCCTCTGGGAAGGAAGACTGGGAGGGGCGGTAGGGGCGGTGGGGGCGGTGGGGGGGGGGGTGACCTGAGCAGGGGGCGGGGTTAAGGATTCCCACTCCAGCCTTCCTATACGTGGGCGGTGTTTATATTAGTGGTTGCTTCCACCAGGTCTGAAATGGCATGATCTCCACTGTCCTTTAAACACCTGGTAGATGACATAACAATGAGAAAGATGATGTTGACAATGACACTGAGTTCTAGCCATGTACCAGGCCCTATGCCCGAGTAATACAATATTAACATCTCCTTTTGGTAGATAAGGAAAGTCTAAGACTGGGCAACTTGTTCAAGGACACAAAGCCAACATGTGTTAGAACCAGGACCTGCCGAGCATGGTGGCTCACAGCAGTAATTTGGCGCTTCGGAAGGCTGAGGTGGGAGGACCCCTTGAGCCCAAGAATTAGGGACCAGCTTGGGGAACAAAGGGAGACCCAGTCTCTATGGAAAATTTAAAAATTAGCCAGGCATGGTGGCACGTGCCTGTAGTCCCAGCTACTCAGAAGGCAGAGGTGGGAGAATCGCTTGAGCCTGGGAGGTGGAGGCTTTAGTGAGCCACCATGTTCATGCCACTGCACTCCAGCCTGAGTGACAGTGTGAGACCCTGTCAAAAAAAAAAAAAAAGGAACCAGGACCTGAACCCAGAAAGTCTGACATTAGAACCCAAACTCTGTCACTCTCTCTAGACACAGTGTCTAAATAGGCACATTGGACTCTTTAATTAATGAAATTACTCGTTCCTCACTTCATCTGGGTGATGGTCCTAAATTTGGTACCTTTTTAGGTCTCCACCCGAGATGTCAACTCTCAGGGCAGTATTGGCCTGCTCCTCTCAGGTCCTCCCCACACCCTGTCTCCCTGGCTGAGTTTCACTGAAACACATTGTGACATTCAGCCCAGGTGTGCCAGAAAGCCCCAACAGCACTGAGGGCGGGAGGGAGGCGGGTGGGGGGAGGTTGGGGGCTGGCTTCCTCTAGGGACATGCTAGCTCTCAAGTTTCCAGCCTGCTTCTACACAGAGAGGTGTAACCACACACAAGCTGGACAAGAACACCACCAAGGGCTGGGACGGAGCCTAACTACCCTGTAGTATCCTTAGGCCTGTGGTCACACCAACAGACATGAAAGAGTATTCAAGCTGCTCCCAATTCACAGTTCCCTCAGAAGCTGGTTGTAGGAGAGAGAAACTGAGAAGGCATCACCTCTATAACAAGCAGCCCCTCCACAGGAATAAGAGTAAACCTGTCTCCTCGCAGAGAAACGAAAAAAGAGAAAACAGAAAGGCTCCAGGATCCACTCCCTGTATGAATTCGCCCGGCACCAACCAATACCTGTGTAGCTATCACTCTGGGAGGCCCCAGCATTTGCTCTGCTGGCCGTGACAGTGGCACGTCCCACTGTGCTGAAAGCTGAAGCCAGCAGGTCTCAATTCCACCCCTGAGCTAACACAAGGTTTCTTAATGCTCCTTTGCCATGTGTTGATCTTGCAACAGAATGTGGGACAGAAGATTTAAAAAGCTATGTGATGGGGGAAGGGCAGCCAGATCACCTTACACCAGGGCTTCTCCATCAAGCTTCCTTGGATTCCCTTTAGGGGCCAGTATTACTAGCTTCTAGGGAGGTTTTCCTCAAACTGGCACTGTAAGAGCACGTGTTGCCTCCGGGGACCAGCTTGGGAGGGGGCTGGAGGGGGGCGGGGTGCAGTCTAAAGAATGGAGCAAAGCACACATCATCTCACCCTGCAAGGGACAGCAATGCCTTACTCCAGTCTGAGCTCCCAAAGGCTCTGACAAGTGGAGGTGCCAGCAGGGTCCACCCTGGGAACCCTGGGGACCCAAGGGCTGGAGGTTCTTCCTACAGAAAAAGGGAAAGCAATGGGAGAAGCCCAAATTAAAGTGACCACCGCGTCATGGGCTCGGACTGCATCAGAACCCAGTGATGTCCCTGGCTGTATCCATGCCCGCCAGCCTCCCCTAGGTCTACAGAGGATAAGGTAGGATAACCCTGGAGACCTCCTCCAAGCCCACAGCCGGCCCCACCCTTAGGGCCTGCAAATATTACCGCTACAGAGCCTTGTCCCTTTTTCACAGATGGGGAAACTGAGGCATGCGGAGCAAATTACGGTGCATTTTCAAACCAGGTTGAAGTTCACTTCTCTAGCCACAATTTTGCACTTTTTTACAGCTTTATTACATTTCCAATTTCTCCATATACACAACTGGTGTTGCAAAGTGAATTTTAAACACCGCTGAAGGACTGAACTCAAAATGAGATGAGGGCAGTCTGGGCGTCCAACAAGGCCGACTTGACCGCAAGAAGAGGATGGGTGCCCCCACCTCCACCTTATCCCCCACCCCCTCCCTGGGGACGTTCAGATTCGGTCGCTTCCCTTCCCTCAAGCCGCTTCCACCGCAACCCAAGGGTGGGGGCTCAGCAGCGGGACCCCGGGATCGCCGGGCGGGCTCTGATGTACCGGGGCTGAGGCGGGCGCGGGGGACTCGGGGACCCTCCCCGGCCCCTGAGGGGACTGCGACCGCGCGCCCAGCTCGGCGGCCGGGAACTTCTGGCGGCGCGGACCCCGCCGCCCCAGCCGCCGGGCGAATGGTGCAGTTCGGGCTTCCCTTTATTTGCCTCGCCGCGAGTCGGGCGCGACCCCGAGGCGGCTCGGCCACTCACCATATTACAGATGGAGGCGATGTTTCGGACAGTCATTAGTCTAAAGGTTGCAGCGATCCCTCACCGCCATCTTTACAAGGGGAAACCGGGACTGCCCATGGTGGCGCGCTGGCGGGGAGGCCGGGCGGCGGCGCGGCGGCCTGGGGTCCGGCTTTCAGTTTGGCTGGGAGAGGGAGGCCGGGAGGAGGAGGAGGCGGCGGCGCGGGGAGGGCGGGGAGGGAGCGCGGAGGGGCGGGGAGTGGCGGAGCGAGGGAGCCTGGGCCGCAGCCGGCGGCGCGGGGAGGAGGGGCGGCCCGGGCGCGCCGCGTGAGTCCGAGCCGGCCGCTCAGAGCGCTCCGGGCTGGGTTCCCGGGCCCCGCCGCGCCGCCTCCCTCCCCGCCCGGCCTGGCCTCCTGCTTTTCCATTTGATTCCCTGCCTCTCTCTATTCGGACTGGAATGCCGGGCCAGGCTCCGGGGCGCGCCGCTGCGGCAGCCGCACCCCGCAGATCCCCCTGGCCGACTCCGACGCGGAAGCAGCGGCCCTCCTCGCCGTCGGGGAGCCAGGGAGCCGGGGACGGCACGGGGCGCGGGGTGGGGAGGCGGGAGGCCCGGGCCAGGGCGAACCCGGGGCCGCCTTCCGTCCTCGCTTTTTCCTCGTCGCCTTCCTCCCGCCGCGCCTCGGCAGCCTCCGGTGTTTAGTTTTTGGCGAGTGGTAGGGGTGGCAACGTCCAACTTTTAGTTCCTCCCGAGGGTTCCAACCAGATGGCACCGGCGGGGACCCAAGAAGTAAAATGGGGCGAGGACACCGGAGCGGTCAGAGAGCCCTCGCCAGCGGCGGGCCGGGCGCCCGAGAAAGGGCGCCAGGAGGGGAGAGGAATCCGGGTCTGGGCGGAGGCCAGCAGCGGCGCGCTTGGGCGGCTTGTAACATTAGCTGGTCCAAAGGAGACGTCCCGGTTCCGCGCAAGCACTAAGGAGGGGAAGGAACGAAAACAAAACTTTTCCATATCTTCAAGGCAGGCATACCCCTCTCAGTGATGCCCAGCCTCCAATTGTTGAGATGGACGCTGTATGGGATCATGCACATTTCCCGCATTAAAGGTCGTGTCTGTGGGTTCAGAGGGTGAGTCTGTGCACCACTTAGCAGATAGGTCCACGCGAATTGAAGGGGCCGGTTTCTGAATGTGTGAAACAGTTACACATACAAAGTTGCAATTCGATGCTTTCATGGGAGAAGTTGTACAAGTGAGATGCGTGATAAATTCTTAAATCAATATATTTAATGACAAATTGAATCAGAAGAAAAATTAGTTGAAGACAGCTTTTATCTAACCAAGAGTAAACATTTGAGAGCCGTTGATTGCTAATACCCCTAGGATCTGGGGAGGAAACAGGAAGACAGACTCGTTGACTGAAGGTTTTGGGAGTCATGTCACTGTGTTTTCCAGTGCACATAAGAAATAATATTCCTGCTTAAGTCTTTCAACCTAAATATTATTTCCAAATACATCCTGATGATAACTTCTTCCATTGTAAGTCATGACTGATTTTCTTCTCTCTCTCTCTCTCTTTGTTTTTTAAGAGACGGGGTCTCTATGTTGCCCAGCCTGATCTCGAACTCCTGGGCTCCAGTGATCATCCCACCTTAGCCTACCAAAGCGCTGGGACAACAGGCGTGAACCACTGCACCCAATGCTTACATTCATGATCTCCTTTAATCGCCACCATAACTATTAGCCGGTAGATGCTATTATCTCGTTTTTTGCAGATCAGTAACATAAGGCTTAGAGGATCAAGTATCCTGCCCAGATGCCTTACCGAAATGCTACAAATGAAGTTGGTGTGGTAACCTGGGCTGAGCACTCTGGGAGAGGAAGAGAAGAGAGCAGAAAAAAAACAACTGAGCTATGACCAATCCCAACACAAAGGCCCAGAAAACTTTAAGATTTGAGGATTAATGTCTCAAGGTCAGGAGCAACCTCAAGACTAAAACTCAGATCTCAGGACTCAATTTCACAGAAGTTCCACTATAAAGGCATTAATCCAAATCTTTAAATGATATGAAAATTTTATAATAAGAGTTCAATATTTCTGCCAACATTGGCACATGGATTGCAAAGTCCACAGGATTGAAAACACCATCAACATAATGGAAATTGAACATCATCTGATTACTGAGTGCTATATCAGCAAGTTAAACGGATCTTTTGTATACATTTTAATGGTGTATCTCCTAAAACTGAAGTGTTCAATATAAACATCCAGATTGAAACTCAGGCAGTGAATTACATACACAACAAATCAATTGAACATGGCAGAGCTTGTCAGACTCATGAAAGATTAAATACATTTTACATTTCCACAAGTGTAGTATTCACAGGTCTAAATTGGAAAATTCTTGGGTTGAAGAAGAATAATCATAATCTTAGCTTCACTCATTGAGGAAACATTATTCAGGGATGATAAAAGGTAAAACCTTAAAAATATTGACAAGCTAATGAGAGAACTTTGAGATAAGCTGATATGCAGGTATCGTTAGGACTGGGAAAAGCAAGAAAATGGAAGGATGGGTTAGAGGGTGGCACTAAACGGCTGATATGGTTTAGATATCTGTCCCCACCCAAATCTTATATTAAATTGGAATCCCCAATTCTGGAGGCAGGGCCTGGTGGAAGGTGTTTGGAACATGGGGGAGGATCCCTCATGGCTTGGTGCTGTCTTCACAATAATGAGTGTGTTCTCCCAAGATCTAGTCATTTAAAAGTGTGTGGCACCTCCCCACTACCCCCCCAACTCTCTCTTGCTCTTACTCTGCCATATGAGATGTCTGTTCCCCCTTTGCCTTCCGCCATGATTAGAAGCTTCATTTGCCCTCCTCAGAAGCAGATGTTTGTGCCATACTTCCTATATAGCCTGTAGTACCATGAATCTCTTTGCTTTATAAATTACCTGGTCTTGGGGATTTCTTTATAGCAATGCAAGAATGACCTAATACAGAAAACGTACTGAGAAGTGAGTCATTGCTGTAGAGATGCCTGAAAATGTGGAAGCAGCTTTGGAACTCAGTAACAGGCAGAGGTTAGAAGAGTTTGTAGGACTCAGAAGAAGATAGAAAGATGAGGGAAAGTTTGGAATTTCTTAGGGATTGGTTAAATGGTTGTGACCAAAATGCTGATGGCTAGGCCGTGAACAGAATGCACCCAAGCACTTTGCTAAGGCAAAACATGTGTGACCTTTGCTCTAGTTCCCCATAAGTTCCTTATTTCCATTCGAGACCTCAGAAGCCTGGACTTCAAACCAAAATGCTGACAGAGATGTGGACAGTGAAGTCCAGGCTGGTGAGGCCTCAGATGGAAATTAGGAACTTACTGGAAACTGAAGCAAAGGTCACGCAATGTTATGCCTTAGCAAAGAGCTTGACTGCATTCTGTTCATGCCCTAGGAATCTGTGGAAGTTTGAACTTGAGAGTGATGATTTAGGGTATCTGGCAGAACAAATGTCTAAGCAGCAAAGTGATCGAGAAGTGGTGTGACTGCTTCTGGCAATCTATGCTCAGATGTGGGAGCAAAGACAAAAGGTGAAACTTATGTTTAAAAGGGAAGCAGAGCAAAAAAATGTTTGGAAAATTTGCAGCCTGGCCATGTGGCAGAGAAAGAAAAAAGCTTTTTCAAGAGAGGAATTCAAGCAGGCTGTGGAACAATTGCTTGCTAGAGATGTTTGCAGGATTAAAGGGGAGCCAAGTGCTACTATCCAAGACAATAGGGAAAAAGCCTTGAAGGCGTTTCAAAGAACTTCAAAGTAGCTTCTCCCATCACAGGCCCAGAGGCCTAGGAGGAGAGAATAGATTCATGGACTGGGCCCAGGGCCCTGGTGCCTTGCACAGCCTTGGGACACTGCTCACCACATCCTAACTGCTCTTGTTCCCACTCTTGCTGTGGCTCAAAGGGGCCTACATACAACTTGGACTGCCACTTTGGAGAATTCAAACAGTAAACCGTGGTAGCTTTCATGTGGTGTTAAGCCTGCAGGCACACAAAGTGCAAGAATCATGGATTCTTGGCAGCCTCTGCCTAGATTTCAGAGGATATATGGCAAAGTCTGTTTGTCCAGGCAGAAGCCTATTGCAGGGGTAGAGACCTTACAAAGAACCTCTACTAGGGAAGTGTAGAGGGGAAATGTGGGGTTGGAGGCTCCAACAGGGTCACCACTGGGGCACTGCCTAATGGAACTATAGGAAGTGGGCCACTGCCCTCCAGACCCAGGGATGATAGATCCACCAGCATCTTGTATTCTGTACTTGGAAAAGCCACAGACTGCAGCCCATGAGGACAGCCTTGGAGTCTCTACCCTGCAAAGCCATAGGAGCAGGACTGCTGAAGGCCTTGGGACCCCACCCCCCACCCCCCGCCCTTGTACCAGTGTGGCCTGGATGTGGGACATGGTGTCAAAGAAGATTATTTTGGAACTTTAAGATTTAGTGACTTCCCTCCTGGGTTTTGGACTTGTGTGGGGCCTGTAGCCTCTTTCTTTTGGCCAATTTCCCCCATTTTGGAATGGGAACGTTTACCCAATGCCTATACTCCCGTTGTATCTTGGAAGTACATAATTTGTTTTTGATTTTACAGGCTTATAGGTGAAAGCGACTTCCCTTGTCTCAGATGAGGTTTTGGACTTTGGACTTTTGAGCCAATGCTAGAATGAGTGAAGATTTTGGGGGCCTATTGGAAAAGAATGATTGTAGTTTGCAATGTGAGAAGGACATGAGATTTGGAGGGGCCACGGGTGGAATGGTATAGTTTCTCTATCTCTCTTGCTCCCGCTCTGCTATATGAGATACCTGTTCCCCCTTTGCCTTTCACCATGATTGAAAGCTTTGTGAGGCCTCCTCAGAAGCCGAGCAGATGCCAGTGCCATGCTGCCTGTACAGCCTGCAGAACCATGAGCCAAGTAAACCTCTTTTCTTTATAAATCACTTAGTCTCAGATATTTCTTTACAGCAATGTAAGAATGGCCTAATACAATAGCCTAAACTAATTTGAGGGAGGTGATGTGTCTCTTGCTTCACAAAGTATGGTTCATGGACTAACAGCATTGGCATCACCAGGAGGTTGTCAGAAGTACAGACTTTCAGTTCCCATCCCAGACCTAATAAATCAGACTCTCCAAGAAGTTTGGGGAGCACTGCTCCAGCCAATGACGTGTGGTAGAATTCTGTT